AACCTGTTTCCGTACGTATTGCAACCTGCGATTGTAGAGGTCAGTTGGCCTGAGCGGTCAATTTGACATAGAGTGATTTTATTATTGAAATGATATTATATACAACAGTGTAATTGACGTTTTGTCGGAAAGGAAGGTAATTTAGTCATATTGAATTATTTTGAGATGAAAATGATAAAAAAAATCAAAATACAATGTAATCGCTTAACGTGGTGTGATTGAGATCTATTGATTGTGATATTGTGGCTGAGATATCTAAAACACATACAGGTACCATATTCTACACTTTATTTAGATAACTACGGTAATTGATATTAAATCTCTTTCACAACACCACTGATCAGTTCAGCTGAGTATATTAAATACGTCCGGAGTTAGGAGGGTAAAGTGAACCAAGCTTTAAGATGGATTTATCAACAAGTTACCTGTACACCATTTACATATGCAACTCGTGTTCATTTCGTTTTCTTTATTAGTTTCTAGGTATGGCCACGTGTCCCCGCTGAGTGACAGGATTACTATTTATCAAACACATAGCTGATATAATTCATTTCCGACTGTCGACGATTTTGATCAGTTACCTGTCGGGCGGGATGAGGGGACAGTGTTGAGATAGCTGTTGACGGGCACATTTTACACCTGTACACAGATTTCACTACCTGTAATCAAGCCAAGGTAAGATACCTTATATTCTTTTCTTATCTTTACTTTACTCATAAGCACTGATCGTTATCCCATAACCGAATGGTCTACACTTGTTACTATTCTGGCACAGGAAAAGTTATAAAGTTATTCTGTTGCTGTTTTATTACATGACTCTAAATTTTAATTTCAACCACAACACCTGTAGTATTGTACTTCGAGCTTACGTAACAAAACACAATAAACGGTTATTTATAGCTGTAAGCATTAGGGTGTATATGTGCTGGTACAGTAGCTATAGAGTGTGTGTTGACTGTGTCGGACATGTCAATGAGGAGCTAGTCCTCGATATTCATCAATATTAATAAATGACGTCACCTTCACAAATATTTCATTGTCGAACAAGTGAAGGGGTGTGGCCCGGACTACAAACTGAGAACTGATATCGTTTCTGAATAAAGTCGCACCACATCAAATAGATATGATTATTAATGAATGAAAAAAAACGAACGCGCTTAATGATCTTTTCTATTTTGTCGGTGTCTGATAATAAAAATGAATCAACATCAATCCTAGATAAACAAATCAGAGCATCATGCTAAGGAACCGATAGTGAAAATCTCACTAGACAATGAATACTAATACAGAGCATCTAAATTAACGACACTGGTGTCTGATACCGAGATTTAGCTAGGACTCAAGGTCAGCCCGTCGTAGAAACATCTCGATATGGCCAATAACTTACATTTATGAATTCCGTAGTTAATATCGCATCTTTGTCATAAAAAATTGATATATCACAAGAATTTTGGGATCAAACTATTCTGACTATATGTTAAATAAACATAAAAGGGCCCAAATCCATTCCATAATATCACATAAATCATCAAAATATTCGAACATCACACTGCAGACCAGCCACACACTAGACCTGACACACACACTAGACCTGAAAACACTAGACCAGCCACACACTTGACCTGACACACACACTACACCTGAAAACACTAGACCTGACACACACTAGACCTGACACACATACTAGACCTGACACACACACTAGACCTGACACACACTAGACCTGAAAAACATTAGACCTGAAAACACTAGACCTGACACACACTAGACCTGACACACACACTAGACCTGAAAACACTAGACCTGACACACACTAGACCTGACACACACACTAGACCTGAAAACACTAAACCTGACACACACTAGACCTGACACACACACTAGACCTGACACACACACTAGACCTGCCACACACACACTAGACCTGACACACACACTAAACCTGAAAACACTAGACCTGACACACACTAGACCTGACACACACACTAGACCAGCCACACACTAGACCTGACACACACACTAGACCTGAAAACACTAGACCTGACACACACTAGACCTGATACACACTAGACCTGACACACACACTAGACCAGCCACAATAGACCTGACGCACACTAGGCTTGACACATGCTAGACCTGACACACACTAGACCTGACACACACACTAGACCTGAAAACACTAGACCTGACACACAGTAGACCTGACACACACACTAGACCTGACACACACTAGACTTGACACACACTAGACCTGACACACACACTAGACCTGACACAATAGACCTGACACAATAGAACTGACGCACACTAGGCTTGACACATGCTAGACCTGACACACAGTAGACCTCATACACACTAGACCTCACGCACACACCAGACCTCACACACACACTAGACCTGAAAACACTAGACCTGACACACACTAGACCTAACACAATAGACCTGACACACACTAGGTTTGACACATGCTAGACCTGACACACACTAGACCAGCCACACATTTGACCTGACACACACACTAGACCTGAAACACACTAGACCTGACACACACTAGACCTGACACACACACTAGACCTGACACACACTAGACTTGACACACACTAGACCTGACACACACACTAGACCTGACACAATAGACCTGACGCACACTAGGCTTGACACATGCTTGACCTGACACACAGTAGACCTCATACACACTAGACCTCACACACACACTAGACCTCACACACACACTAGACCTGAAAACACTAGACCTGACACACACTAGACCTGACACACACACTAGACCCGACACATACATTAGACCTGACACACACTAGACTTGACACACATTAGACCTCACACACACACTAGACCTGACACACACTAGACCTGACACAATAGACCTGACACACACTAGGCTTGACACATGCTAGACCTGACACACACTAGACCTGACACACATTAGACCTCACACACTAGACCTCACACACACACACTAGACCTCACACACACTAGACCTGACACACACTAGGCTTGACACATGCTAGACCTGACACACACTAGACCTGACACAATAGACCTGACACACACTAGACCTGACACAATAGACCTGACACACACTAGGCTTGACACACATTAGACCTCACACACTAGACCTTACACACACACACTAGACCTGACACACACTAGACCTGACACAATAGACCTGAAAAACACTAGACCTGACACATACATTAGACCTGACAAACACACTAGACCTGAAAAAACACTAGCCCTGACACACACTAGACCTGACACACACTACACCTGACACACACACACGACCTGACACACACTAGACCTGAAAAACACTAGACCTGACACATACATTAGACCTGACAAACACACTAGACCCGAAAAACACTAGACCTGACAAACACACTAGACTTGACACACACTAGACCTGAAAAACACACGACCTGACACACACTAGACCTGACACACACACTAGACCTGACACACACACTAGACCTGACACACACTAGACCTGAAAAACACGACCTGACACACACTAGACCTGACACACACACTAGACCTGGCACACACACTAGACTTGACACACACTAGACTTGACACACACTAGACCTGACACACACACTAAACCTCACACACACACTAGACCTGACACACACACTGGACCTGACACACACACTGGACCTGACACACACACACGACCAGCCACACACTAGACCTGACACACACACAAGACCTGACACACACTAGACCTGACACACATTAGACCTGAAAAACACTAGACCTGACACACACACTAGACTTGACAGACACTAGACTTGACAGACACTAGACCTGACACACACACTAGAACTGACACAATAGACCTGACACACACTGGACCTGACACACACACTAGACCTGACACGCACACTAGACCTGACACACAACCTAGACCTGACACACACACTAGACCTGACACACTCTGGAACTTACAATCACAAAACCTAACATTCAATGAACATTATACCTGACACATACCATAACTAGCATACACTCCACACCTGACATGCATATGATTCGGTACCCACCATACATACCACTGACTAGACCTGACATACACACCACAAGACACAAACCACACCGGATACGTACCGAATCTGACATCAGCCCTGATATACAATACTACCTATAAACTTAGATAACCTAGACACACCTTTTCAATTATTATCATCATTACTGCATTATCATTTTTTCCTTTCTTGCGAATTCCTACGTTTTTACTTCTCAAAGGTTACAACACAATGCAAAATAATGCTGGCCGTTTTTTGAGATTTAAGGATTTGATCCATCAAGGACACGGAAGTAGATAGAATAATAATCATGTTTGGCTCTCATACATTACATTTATACACTCTGTTGTATCTGTTATTTACAACCATTCGTTAAAATAACGACATGTATATAGCTGGTCCATCAGTCTTGACATAAGTACGATTCTGTGGCAGAAGTAGGGATTCGGATGAAGAACAGTGTGAAAAAAACCCAATGATGTCCACGTAACTGAACACATATACATGTATTTGATTTCTTTCGTGAGATCATAAAATTCGTTGAAGATGTTTGTTAATCAACAATATTTAATGACAGAACAAAAAAGGGCGTTAAGCCTCTCTAAGGTTGTTTGTGTGGTCAGCTGAAACATACTGTCATTTTACTGTGTCTGTCTGTGTGTCCGTCTGTCTGTCGATACAGGGTAATTCAGTCTCCTCTACTATTGGTAAATCATTCTACTTTTCTGAGGCATGGTGTAGTAAATCGTTCTAACTCCATATTGCTCGTTATAAGTGGTATGATGTATGTTGATGTATGGAAAAACGCTCAACACGTTCCCCTGCCTCATGTTACGTAATGAATGGTATTTCACTAGATGACTAAAGTGTAATTTGTAACGTTTCTAACCACAATAACATGATGACTGTGTACTTGCGTATCTAATAATATCATACATGTGGCTCCGACATATTACCAGCCCCTGCCAGACATACTATTAAGGCACATCCCCACTGTTCACCGAACCCCAGAGGTAAGTCTCGATGAAAGAGTAAATCGCCTTAAAACAGTGCCACGGTTAGAGGTTATATCACGGACATAGAGAGATAAATGCCGTTTTGCCATGGGAGATTTCTTCCGTGTCGACTTTTGAAATCTGGTCGACCGACATTTCCAGCGATTTGATGCAAATTGATGTAAAACCGTCGCATCATCAACTCAGGGCTATGGATGTGCCGTGGTTCATCTTCTTTTTTGGGCTGTAGAATTGCGCATTTGGAGTTTGTCAGACAATTTATATTCAACGTGAATTAAAATGTGATGTGTTCCCATAATTCTTATCCAACTTTGATTATCATTGGAAATTCGCGCGGCCATTTTTTCAAGTGGTAATTTTTGCCATCCTGTTGCTAATGACATCATTTGTCGACGTTTTCATTGAGAAACTGATGAACAAGATCATTTAATAACTTGAAATTATCGTTCTTCTAAAAAGTTTTCTGTTTAATCCAAATATCTTGTATCGGTCCATATATTTTGATAATGCAGTTTTGTTGATATGAAAATCCTCTAAAATCGACTTTTTTCAACATGGCAGTCGACATGGCCGATTTCTCGAGCGTTCGCGACTTCGTTATTTATCAGATACAGGTATATAACAATTGAAGATGTGTTTGATAGTTAGTGTTAATGATAAGATGTGGGACGAATTCGTCTGTTTTAGCGGTTATTTTACCACGTAATGCCGTGGTTGTACATAGAAGAGAACCCTGAAAATAACGTGGAATGGAGTTTTTAATGTTTATTGTTCAAAACACTTTAAGGTGAAGTTTGTCAGCAGAACACTAGGTGTTTCACTAGTGTGAACTAATTTTTTTTATCAAGTCACCAAAAGGCGATAGATTTTGTTAATATTCTAAATTCTATTTCTAAGTTAAGCCTCTAATACGATAACTTTTCCAGAAATTCTACATACTTGTACGTATAATTATACTGTATACTAAGTGGACAATTCAAATTTTGATAATCAACTAGTTAAAGTTTGAATTAATCTTTACACTTGGATTCGTACGTGTAGCTATATTACCTTAAACTAGAAAATGTTTACTATAAAGCTGCCGTTGATGATGTTTATGGTGGAGTGAGAGGAGAGTTCCAGCTTCTAAGATAAATATTTCTTTATCTAGTTATAAATTACCGGACAGTACGTATATCTAAAGGCAGTATGGAGTTTTATTGACTGTCCGCTACGTATATGACAAGAGGTTTTGGATTTAAACTATTCGATTTTATTGTGTGTAGTTCCAAGCGTTTTATTGACTTTGATTTTGTAGTGTTGACCTTCAGAAGGACCACATTATGAATTTCCATCACAAAGGTCTTTGATGCTCTATTTTTCGTAAGCTGTTGATTTTGGAAGACGCATCAGTGATTTTATATAAAAATATAGTGACGACAAAATACCATAGCGTACATGTATATATTGTATGTGTAAAATTCCTATTCATTCAAGTGTAAGAGTGTTCCCTGAACGCCAACATTTTTTTTAACAATAGTAAAGTGTTGCATTAGTCAGTTATTCACTGCTTCATATCAACTGTCTCTTTTTACTTTTTACCTGAGTTTACCTGTGTTTCACACAATACATTTCTGATTATCTTGAGTAAATAAAATGACATAATATATTCTGTTGTTATATCATTTAATCGGTATATGATAAATGACTTGAAAACATTGAAACGTACATGTACTAGATTTAAGATATATTAGTAAAAGTCAGTATACCTCCAGTAAAGATATCTAGGTGTGTATAACAGAGACGTTGAGATATATATAACATAATGATGGTTTTATTGTCTACACATCTATTTAGAATTCCATAATATTTGATTAGGTTTGACACTTTATAACCGGAGTTCTCACCTTTGCCCATTTTCGTCACGCATGCATAATTTTTTAATCTCCTGAACGTAGTATTTGCCGCAGTCAAAGTGTTTTTCTATCTTTCACAAGGTAAGGGTTTCATTCACTATAACCTTTATAACCCCTTCATAGTTGTAAATGCCAGCCCAGCGGTATGTTGATCAGGCCTAACACGTGCCCTTTACAGACAAAGATCACTATCATTACTAGTGGATGTCATCCCCGTCATTGCGAGATTTTACCGACAACGATCGCTATCATAACTGGGGGATGTCATCCCCGTCATTGCGAGATTTTACCGACAACGATCGCTATCATAACTTGGGGATGTCATCCCCGTCATTACGAGATTTTACCGACAACGATCGCTATCATAACTGGGGGATGCCATCCCCGTCATTTCGAGATTTTACCGACAACGATCGCTATCATAACTGGGGGATGCCATCCCCGTCATTTCGAGATTTTACCGACAACGATCACTATCATAACTGGGGGATGCCATCCCCGTCATTTCGAGATTTTACCGACAACGATCGCTATCATAACTGGGGGATGCCATCCCTGTCATTACGAGATTTTACCGACAACGATCACTATCATAACTGGGGGATGCCATCCCCGTCATTTCGAGATTTTACCGACAACGATCGCTATCATAACTGGGGGATGCCATCCCCGTCATTACGAGATTTTACCAACAACGATCGCTATCATTACTGGGGGATGTCATCCCCATCATTACGAGATTTTACCGACAACGATCACTATCGTTACTTAGGGATGTCATCCCCGTCATTACGAGATTTTACCGACAACGATCACTATCGTTACTTAGGGATGTCATCCCCGTCATTACGAGATTTTTACCAACAACGATCGCTATCATTACTGGGGGATGTCATTCCCATCATTACGAGATTTTACCGACAACGATCACTATCGTTACTTAGGGATGTCATCCCCGTCATTACGAGATTTTTACCAACAACGATCGCTATCATTACTGGGGGATGTCATCCCCATCATTACGAGATTTTTACCAACAACGATCGCTATCATTACTGGGGGATGTCATTCCCATCATTACGAGATTTTACCGACAACGATCACTATCGTTACTTAGGGATGTCATCCCCGTCATTACGAGATTTTTACCAACAACGATCGCTATCATTACTGGGGGATGTCATCCCCATCATTACGAGATTTTTACCAACAACGATCGCTATCATTACTAGTGGATGACATCCCCGTCATTACGAGATTTTACCGACAACGATCGCTATCATTACTAGGGGATGTCGTCCCGCGTACGAGATTTTAAGACTTCACCTTCCCTCTCAGTGGAAATCATATGTATGACCTGAAAATGGGACTGTACAATTGTAATATATCAAAATGACGTGCCGACGGAAGCGAAGATATAATATATTTTTTATTTTGTTAAAAATGCGTTTTGAAATGACCCTTTTCTTATACTGATTGATACATCTAATTTTTTTTAAACTGTAAGGGTTTTGCAGTGCTCTGTTTAACCTCTATAGATAGCTTAACCAGTCCTACCTCCATAGGCTTGCTGTAGTCTGATCTGGGCTCCATAAATAAACGTCCAATGGTTTGATTTAGGCTCAATAAACGTGCAAATGTGTGTGATAAGGCTCAATAAACGTACAAGCATTTAATCTGGGCTCAATAAACGTACAAGGAGGTGATCTGGGCTCAATAAACGTACAAGGAAATGATCTGGGCTCAATAAACGTACAAGCATTTAATCTAGGCTCAATAAACGTACAAGGTGGTGATCTGGGCTCAATAAACGTACAAGCATTTAATCTAGGCTCAATAAACGTACAAGGTGGTGATCTGGGCTCAATAAACGTACAAGGTGGTGATCTGGGCTCAATAAACGTACAAGGTGGTGATCTGGGCTCAATAAACGTACAAGCATTTAATCTAGGCTCAATAAACGTACAAGGTGGTGATCTGGGCTCAATAAACGTACAAGCATTTAATCTAGGCTCAATAAACGTACAAGGTGGTGATCTGGGCTCTGTAAACAAAACACGCAAATATGTTATCTAGACCCAATATTGTGAATCAGTTTAGAATTTTCTTTATTTAAAGGATTTTTAACTGCATTTTCAAAAGAATATTATATGTACCGACAATATGGGATCCTCATCGCGGTCCTTATTTCTACATTACTATCTGTAAATGTCAAATGTTCTGTGTCATCAGTGTTGGAGTCAAACCTGGCCGTGTAGAGAAAACCAGATATAACATGTTACACGCGAGTTATGTCACACAGCACAGCTGAGTGAATCTTACCATGTTTAATCTATCTTTACTAGAAACGATCTGACATATTGCTGGATTTAGTTTCATTTTGTTTAACATCCTATCAAAAAAAGCTAGGGTCATTTCAGGACGACGCTAAGTCACAATGATTAAAGATCTGTGTAATACAGTTATATACAGGACATTCGAAACAATATGGTATTTATTGCCCTTCATGATGTACAGGCTTCAAACCATTACGCCCCAGTCATATATCTAATTAATCTATGCGTTTTGACAGTTAATTTCCACTTACATCGGCTTCATCTCCGCTCTTAGGAGGGGGTAATTTAATACCGCGTAGCAGTTATCATCTTACCCCGAGGGAGGGGATCAGACAGAGTACCTATCTTCTCTCTGGGGAGGAGGTCGAACATCAAAATAGACGTGTTTATCATAGTTTATCAATTTTACTGAAAATATGTTAAGTGTTTTACACATTTTGTGAATCTAATCAGAGTAACGCTGATGCCTATATCACTGAAAAAAAGACATTATTTCAGAATATAAATTTGTTATTGGCTTTCCGTATTCGAGACGTACAACAAGAGACCTTGAGAGGGTACGTAGTTAGGATGGTGATATGTCCATGAACTCTAAATCTGGCTCACTATACGCCATTGATGTAGATATATTTTGTACCCATAAAGGTGTTATATTTACCCCTGTGCCTTCGTGCCTTCGTAGTAACTGATAGACAGGAGGGGTACAGCACTACCACAACTGACGCCTGGTACTCTTGTCGTTCGCTTGGTGTTTGATCATTGACAGAAATAAGAAAATCATGTTAATTCACAGTGGGGACGCCATTGTGTGTCAGAATCAGTTGATATATGGCGGTTACTCCGCTCTGTCTCTTAACTACCTGGTCAGTCCCAAACTTTAGGGTACTTACCCTCGGACATGTGCGGCTTGTCCAAACGTTCCGTTGACTAGGAATTGATAACTGCCTTAAAACTGTGATTCTCTTACATTTATTTGGATAAAGTTTTCTTAGGACCGCCCAGATGCCTTTACCTCAGAATATGCCGCGGAAGGTGAGTAAGTGTACTCGGTGACCTGAAAGGCTAGTTGATTAACCAAGAGACATCGGTAACAAATGTTACCTGTAAGATTTTTACCTGTAGTTATTGAAAGATAAATCATTTTAATGTCCGATTCCAACATTCGTTTCATCATCGATCACATACCAGTGTCAAGGTGTGTAATTATGTTATAGATATATCCGTGTCACATGGAATTGTTAACTTCACCAAATCTAAAATCTGTCAAACAGTCGTATAGATATACAGATACAAGTGTAATAACTCAGCTGAACATAATTTTTGTTAGACGTGATTAAAAACGTACATATACATTTTCGTCGAAGTTGTTTACCGAAATTTGACAAATATTGTGATTTTTTCCTCAGTGCATATTTAAGTGAATTATTTTGTTCTGAATAAACTATGACACTTTGTTAAATAAATAAGTTAAGTTTGAATAAACGCAAGACATTTGCTACATAGATAAGTGATGTTTAAATAAACTTCGACACTTTGTTACATAAATAAGTTAAGTTTGAATAAACGTAAGACCCTTTGTTACATAAATAATTAAAGTTTGAATAAACTTACGACACTTTGTTACATATATTCAGTAAACTTTTTTTGTAATTATTAACTTTTCACTGAAAGTACGACACTCCGGTTTAATATTTTGTAATTGTTTTTACTAAATGTACGACTCTTCGTCACACATACACTTTTTTTATTGATTAATTGATTGATTTTGTCTAAAAGTACAACGCTTCGTCTAAGTATTTTCTAAACTTTAACTAAATTCATTGTATACTGTGACACTTCGTCACAGATATTTTGTAATAATCTTTGAGAAAAAGTACGACGGTTCGTCATAATATTTTCTTAACTTTGACTAAATATACAACATTTTGGCACGTATATTTTGTAACCAATTAACTTTGACTAAATGTACGACGCTTCGTCACATATATTCAGTAAATTTTGACTGCAAATCAGATTTATTTTCCTACATAAATCTTACTGTTAATCACATACCCTATGTATTCTTTAAATGTAGGCAGTCTCATACCCTGTGTATTATTTAAATGTAGACAGTCTCATACCCTGTGTATTCTTTAAATGTAGACAGTTACATACCCTGTGTATTCTTTAAATGTAGACAGTTACATACCCTGTGTATTCTTTAAATGTAGACAGTTACATACCCTGTGTATTCTTTAAATGTAGACAGTTACATACCCTGTGTATTCTTTAAATGTAGACAGTTACATACCCTGTGTATTCTTTAAATGTAGACAGTTACATACCCTGTGTATTCTTTAAATGTAGACACTTACATACCCTATAGTTATATAGTAAATCATTCTTGTATTCTTAACGTATAGACAGTTACTTATTTATGAAGACAAAATATCACGCATCGTGAACAAGAAATATTTAATTCAGAAATATGATAAGTTAGAGTTAAGTATTTTCTGTCCTACTTGGCCCTCCCGTAGAGAGATATATAAGAGTTTACGGGACACACCCCTTATCTGTCGACACTCTTTACAACACACGTTGTGTAAACACTGTACCCAGCATTCACGTGTAAACTTAGAGCTTGACTTATCGACAGGAAATTACCGTAATAAAATGGCAGAGCATGAACTGAATTTTGTAGTGTGCTAATGTCATACTGAAGTCAGCTACATAAGTAAATACCAGGATAGATAATAACAGATGATGTCTATTCTGTCCGGGTTGATCAACCTACCGTCACACATTGTTAGTGTGTTTCATGGTGTATTACGGAACAACAATATATACATTCCACGTCCTGGTGAATAATGATAATTTTAATATGTTTTGTATAATGTTTGCGCGCGTGTTGTAGGGAACACAAGACATTTAGTACCCATCCTTCCCCACTCCTACTCAGTACACATATATCGTAGTATCATTCAAGTCTTCATTCTCCCGTGTATACTTTCCGTGATATCTGAGAAATCACTAGCCTGGACGTAACATAAGACGACCCTGAGATGTTAAAACCAGTACATAATGTATATTCGATTGTTCATAATAGCGACCATCACAAACATTGCCAGGTAAACAATAACAGGTAAACAATAGCAGGTAAACAATTACAGGTAAACAATTACAGGTACACATACCGGGACACGATGGTGATACATATTGTGTGTTGTTAGGTCACAAAAATTGAAAAATACATAGGATACTGTATAATACAGTGATGTACGATACGAGGTATATATATATATATATAAATAGCAATCACACATCGAGCCCTATTTATGCTTGTAACACAAAGACATTGTCCCTGCCGTATCTAGAAATTAGTCACCGCTTCATTGTCGGGTTTCTGATGAAGCTTTAATTCAAATGAACAAAAAGTCATTTTTCAGTTTGAATTATTGATTTATTATATTTGCACTGTTGTATGGATCGAAGGTAAAAGTTTAACAAGGTTACATATTTGCGTGACGCCATTATGATATGACCTCTCTGGACCGTGTACACAGAGGTCAAAGGGTTTGAACTCTCAGTATAGGAACATAAAAACATTAAAAAGATACCAAACCATATACTTAATACGGACACTTCTCATTTTGAAAACATAGCATTACATATAATTTAAAAGTTAAGTTTAAGACAAACTAGGTTCCTGGTCACCACCGGATCCCTGTGGTCATACAGTATATGAAAACCTTACCTGGTGTTTAAAATGTATTAGGTGGGAGTTTAGATTGACTTTCCAGCTTCGGATATTATATCTCTGATTCCAGCTTCCTTGGATTCATTCTGAAAACTCGGTCCGAACTACAATCTCTCTGTGTATAGTTTCAAAGTCGTCCCTGACCTTTCACCTACCTACATGTAATGGCAGATTTCGCTGGCAATTTGTCACATTCGGTCATCCCCACAGCAACAGGTCATTTATTTATAGGAGAATGTGTGTCTATCCTAGACTTACCTTCCGGAAACACTTTATAAATATTGTTTATATGTACATTTCGGTATGTACTTACGTCTAACTATATAATGAAGGACGTGATATCCACACACATATATATATAAGTTTACCTTGGTAGATTATATATATGGACATTTATGTGGATATCAATGACTTATAGCTCGCATTTAGTACATTATTTAATAGAACATTTATTGAAACACACTTTAAAAGTACAATCGATGAGGCCTCTAATGTGGAGTCTGAATTTAAGAAGTATTTTCTTCTTCCCATATTCCAAGATCCATTGACCCTATAGCAGTCAATATGATTATCTCAAGGTCTGAATTCACTTCGATATTCTGGAGTGTATTGTAGTGAATGGATAATCAGATTGACAAAATCCGACCCTAAAAATGCAATGACTTTGGCGTCGATTTTGCATAATTCCTGATTTCAGTTTAAAATGATGCAATTTGGTGTATAATCCGTGGCGTCCCGTCTTTCTAGGCCCTTTTAGCTTAGCCTAGTGCATATTTTGAATGCGGAACGAGGTCACGTGATGGTGACGTCAAAGTGTTACTCTAGTGCTAACGAGATTCTATTTACCCAATAAGACACACGTCTACACACGTCAGTTCTACATTCACATACGTTCAAAATCGTTTTCAAATGAAAGTATATAGATTATTGTCATCCACATAATGACATATGGCAACGAAAAATAAAGTTTTTTTCTTAGTGAATGGAAACAACAATGGGACAGTACTATATACAGTTATGTGAACGGCCTTGTCCAAGTTGATTCATAGCACATATACCTAGAATTATTAAATAATTACTAGAAGTACTGCAGCAAATGGTTACTATTAACGAATTTTTATCATTGTGTGTTTGGTGATAGTAAATGTTATAAATGCCACGACTGATGGATACATAACGTACATTTTAGTGTAAATCGTTGAGTCGTGGCATTCTGTACTCGTGTATACACGTATTAACAACACCTCGAAATCAGAAATTTTAAGGAAAATAACCATCTTTTGTAAATTTTCAAGATATTTTCCCAGTAGATATCAAAGTTATACATTTTAACACCAAGCCAAACTAGTGTGGTAGCTAAGGGGAGATAACTCTCAGAAGAATGCTCTATATACCGGTGAATGTAAGTTCAAGTCTCAGGCTTATACTGTGAGACTCACCCAAATTGTAAGACTCAGCTATATCTCTAATTAGTGTGACTCCTCACAATTTTAGGAATATTGTTCTGAACTCGCTAGAAAGAAATCTTACAAACATCACTGTTATACACCTACAATTGTTATAAACAATTTCTAGGACCTCTTGGTTGACCGCTGTGCCAATATAACAATACGTAAAGTTGATTTTGTTTACTCTAAATACCAGGAAGATCTTACAAGTAACTATTCCAGATAAATATGTACTTCTTCTAGCCAGAATAAGTATGTGTTATGTCATCAATATTTTGTAGTTTTTTTTCCGTCGTTGGTTGTACATCATCATTGTTTAATATGAAAAGTATATAAATATAAAAGGCCATTGTAGCAGTCATTTTGTGTAATTGTCCATCTTTGTTTCAGATGTCGTTCCGGGATCACCGCAACATCAATATGGAGTCTAAATTGAAGGAAGTGAACCACCTAGACAACATGAGCAAGGGAATGAACAAAGCGCGGGAATATCTCATATTATTCCTTACCTACATACTCTACAAAATTACGCGCTCTATTGTCGTCACCTTCCAAAAGTTCACGTGGGCAGTGACCGGTGTCGAGAGGACCCGAAAGGACGCACATCGTGGATTACAATTCAAGCTGAGTGCGCATGTCCAGCATGTTGTATGGCGACGGAAGTTGTTTGGTATGACAATGGCTGACCCGTCCGATTTCATAACAACTCATAAATGTTTTAAGCATCCTAATTACGTGCTCAAACCTCATATATCACTTTATTGTATCACCAAGAAAGAAGCTATATTTGTCGAGGTGAAAGAAGGAACAGATATATATAGTTCATCAGAAAACACATCATCATTATTTCAAGAACAGTTTAAGCATGCGCAATGTCTCATCTCCATCCCATTAGCATCTTTCCATAAAGTTGCATCTGACCTCGGCGCCCCAAGGGTACCAATCATTTGGATTTCTAGCACCGGGCGTTGTGGCTCGACTTTACTGACACGTGTTTTTGCGCAACTTCCGGGTATGATGGTGTTGTCGGAACCAGATGTTCTCACTAGTCTAGCTTACTTAAAGAAAACTAAACGAATCAATAAAGGTGAATATGAACAGTTACTGCCAAGTTCAATTCGCTTACTGTGTAAACCGGACGACAGGGCAGGAATGATTTGTGTCAAAACGAGGCCGAGCTGTACAGGACAGATGGATGACGTGTACAAGAATTTCCCACAGATATATCAAATCTATGTATACCGCAATAGCCTTAAAACTGTGACGTCATCGCTGAGTCTCTTCTCAGAAGAGCCGTTTGCCATGATGGCACGTTACATAATAGACAACAAAATTTTATCCACGGTCATGCCATGTTTCAGAAGTTTCTTTTATTTCAACTTCTGTTTTGTGCTAGATCGTGACCCTCCTGCTATGCCTCCAAAGAGCTTGAGTAGCGTGGGAATATTCACGACATCATGGGCTGCCAGTATCTCGCGTTGCGTTGAGGCTATCGAGGCGCGAGTGCCAGTCATCGCTCTACTCTATGAAGATATGATGAAGAATCCTCGTAAAACCTGTTCGATTCTGTTCGATTTTCTCGATATTCGAAGAGAGTATATAGCATCTGCAACAGAGGGATTCAAGGTGGATTCAAACAGGGGTTCGCTTAGTCAAAGCTTGGTAATAAGTGATTCACGAAGGACAATTCCCCAGGGGTTCCGAGTGGAAGCTGACTCCATCCTTCGGAAGCACAATCTACCACGTCTCGGCGAGAGATACGAATTACCAGGTCTGATTGATTTTGAAGCATCGAAACTCCCTAGGATGAACTCTAGTAACAAATTCTTCTGATGCATTAAATGCCTATCACATTCATCAGAAAATGGGTTTCTGTTGTAAAGTACAAGTCCATAAGCATGACTCTGTGCTTCCTTAAACATAAAATTCATACACAATAAAATTTTGCCTCTGTTATGGGTCAAGAAATCGAAATTCATGTAGACGCTTCCAATTCATCGTGTGGACGATAGTAGGAAAGGTAGAGCTATCATTTACATTGTATCAATAAATTTTATGTTGGAATATGTCTTGCTTGGTTTTTCTTAAGATAAGAAGCGACATATTTCATTCACTGATGTGTGATGGACAAGTCTATATATGAAACACAATACAGTTGTTAAAATGTCAACAGCAGACAGTCCGAATAAAGGTATGTGTGACAATTAGAGATATATATATGTATAACATAAATAAGTCTCTTCTAAAAACTTTTCTTCTATAACAACATTGGATTTTTCTACCCTATACCCCACCTTCGCTCTCTTGTTATGAGAGCCTCACTCTCCATGAAAGGTGAACGGCGGTATAAATATATGATTGTGAACTATACTGAAGCGTATTTCGTAAAACAATTACGTCCAAATCAAAGAAGAAATATACGGCGTACGAAATCATAAAAATGAACGAGTTTCTGGTTGAAAATATCTCCGTTGAATTTGGTAGTGAGATTTTCTGGCATACCTGTGGAACTAATTGCGCCCCTCTGGTGACTGACTTGTTTTTGTTTTCATACGAGGCTGAATTTATTGAAGAGCGTATCAAAACAGGCCACAAAGACCTTGCAAAGTCGTTTAATTTCACCTTCAGATACTAAGTATATTGATGACGTCTTGTCTATCAATAACAAGAAACTTATAGACGACGTCCATCGTATATATCCACCAGAACAGGATATCAAAATTATGACAGGCTTTTTACATCAGCTATTTATCTCAATCTTTTCCTACAACGAAACCAAAAATGGATAGCTTTCCACCGAGCTTTATGATAAACGTGATTATTTCATTTTCCCTATTGTGAATTTTCTATTTCTGGATAGCAATATACCTGCATCTCCAACCAATAGTATTTACAAGTCACAATTGATTTGATATTCAGGGACCTGTTTCCATTATCACGATTTTCGTGCAAGAAGTCGTCAACTGACTGACAAACTCGTAACACAAGGTTTCAAAAGATGCATGTTAATGGAAATCATGGGAAAGTTTTATGTTCGCCAAAGTGATCTTATTGAGAAATATTCTATTTCTTTGTGAAACATAAAGCTGGACGTATTTGATGCTCGTTATTTTGCCTGTTGATTCCGTTGTTGTATACCTTGTTCTTATTTGAGAACGTGACATTGCTTACTTGGATTGACCAAGGTTTGCATGGCGGGTGTCGTCGATGAAGCAGAAGACCCTTACTCTTCCGGAACACCTGGTCTTATTCTCAATGTACTTGAGACAAACATAATAAACTGCTTTTGCCGATTTCATATAGTAGTAAATTGAGTTGGTCTCGAGACAAATTTAATAAACTGCTTTTGTCGATTTCATGGGGTAGTAAATTGAGTTGCTCTCGAGGCAAATCTAATTAACTGTATTTGTCGATTTCATTGGGTAGTAATTGAGCCCCTCTTAATTTGTCTCAAAAGCAACTCAATTCATCTCCTCATGAAATGTACAAAAGCAAGATTCCATGCTTATATTTCAATTAAGACGGTTTTGTTTCAAAAGTCTGCAATTACTTTTTGTAAGCCCAATGAATTGGGTTAAAAACATAATCTCAACATCTTAAATCATATGATAATCAAAAAGTATCACCAAAGGAAAAACAATAAGTCCATACATTAAAAAATATAAAACATTATTTAATTGTAATAATTGATTTTGTTGATATGTTTTAGAAATTATGAAAATTCTCCAACAGGTACTCGGAAGAATAAAGCCTATACTGAGTAAGTTTCGTGGTCTTTCTCCTCAGAAGTCTATGTCTCCATGGCATCAAGAACTTACTCAAGAGGCAATTCTATATCAAAATAGCTCCGTGGACGATCTTGGTCTTGTTGGAGATTCTCATGTTCAGGCAGCGGAAGGTTAAAAGACGACAACATTTGTAAGGTCTCAAGCGGATATCAAACCATGGACAACAAATTTGTTCTGCTGAAATTACCATAACGTCATATATTGATAGATTTAGTACTTATCATACACATTATGTATCTTTATCTATATTATATAAAGCTGGAGTAAATCTGGATACTTTTATTATAAGGTTCATCACTTCCTTCTCAATCCTCACTGTTTGTAGTGTTTTAGCGTTCTCGCGGAAGGATCTGTTGATGTTGACCACTTCGGCATCCAGTAATAGGGTATCAGATGACTTTGTCCAGGATAGGACTTCTCAAATATACGTCTGTAGTATAAAGCCTCTTTAGTGCGTGGAGGGTTGTGGGGATAACGATGTCTGCTTTCCTCTAAGTCTGTATCGTTTATCTGTTGTAAACAAGAAGGAATATTTAATACGCGACCTACTAGTATGTAAAGTGTGGCGGGTAGGTACAACACAATATCTGTGTATGTGTGATGTGTAATATCATATCTAAAGTAAAAAATCAACTCGTGTCACTCCAAAATAAAAGATAACTGGGGTTGATATCATGGTGTAATGAAAAGTAAAGATTGTTATGACTAAAAGTAAAATTCATTGATCGTGAAAAGTACCGTAATAGAATAAAAAAGCATTCACCGATGAGTGACCCGTGGTGATCTGCTGTTTACAACATTTTCCTTATAAATAAACACTTTGGCTTACTAGAGCCGTGGATAAAACACCGGGTTCATTTTGTAGATAAAATGGATGATGGTTGTTATTACACATTTTTCAAAACTTAAAAGATTTATTGTCGGATTGAAAAATATAAATTATGTAGAATTATCTGAGTGCATTTTTACCAGTCGCCAATGTTAATATTATCATTGTCAAAGAAAACCCTACCTGTTGGTCAACGAAGTCCTGAAGTACCTCGTACCAAGACCTGGTTTGACTGGACACGCCATCACTAAAAGCCTCCTTGGGTCGCCATAATATCTCTGTTGGGAGTAAACCCGTGCTGTCAAAGGCTGACCGAAGTAAATGTTTCTCTATCCCGTTCTTGGGCGACTTGGCTTTAGGTTGTAGTGAGAGGTAGAAACTGCTGAACCGGTGGTCCAGGAAAGGAACACGTATTTCCAACCTGGAACCATCATTTAATAGTTTACTATATTACTATTTCGTACGCAAAATAAGTTGAAATCAATTATCTCTCAACAGCACATGGATATATTTATTTACGTTAGAAAGAGACATAAGAGTTGTTCTTGTGATAGTCATTTAAATTTGAAATGTCAGCATTAGAGCCATATTACACAAACTCTTTACATTACCTGTACACAGCCGAAAAAGTAAGACCAGTATCAATGTCGAATAATGTAGGTTAAATGTCATATTTACAATATTTGTGCACGTGTTCTCTAAAAAGCAAGCTTAACATATATACAAATACATTTCATAATGTTTATATATATATTATATATAATTTTATGCTGTAAAATGATTTAATCGTTTCCCCACTTCCGTTTTGTATCATTTTCAAAAAAAAGATAACAAAGAATGCGCATAAACTAACACTAATTAAAACAAAGATGATTTTCGATTTATCTACAATATAAAATTATAAAACTATTCAGATTTTGCCATGTAGTCGAAAAATAATTGAGATAGGGGAGGTAACTCTATCTTTGTCAGTTAATAAACTTTTTTTTTCTTCCAGATAATCTCCCTTCCATTGCAAAACGGTACTTACATGTACCAGTAATAAATAATGAAAATAAATATTTCTCAAGGAAATACAGTTTAAACGACTCAAATATAGAACACACTGACCATCTACCACTGAAGTTCATAAACATAATTCATTTTACGGACATTATTTTAATGCTAATGTTGTCAGACGAAATATCCAAAATGCTAGGACCATCAATAATGGCAACAGAAATCCATAGTTACTGCCTTGTCAATATGAGAGAAATCCCACCCAAACTCAGGTACAAAAGGAATACATAGTTACTGCCTTGTCAATATGAGAGAAATCCCACCCAATCTCAGGTACAAGAGGAATACATAGTTACTGCCTTGTCAATATGAGAGAAATCCCACCCAATCTCAGGTACAAAAGAAATACATAGTTACTGCCTTGTCAATATGAGAGAAATCCCACCCAATCTCAGGTACAAAAGAAATACATAGTTACTGCCTTGTCAATATGAGAGAAATCCCACCCAATCTCAGATACAAAAGGAATACATAGTTACTGCCTTGTCAATATGAGAGAAATCCCACCCAATCTCAGGTACAAAAGAAATACATAGTTGCTTCCTTGTCAATATGAGGAAATCCCACCCAATCTCAGGTACAAAAGGAATACATAGTTACTGCCTTGTCAATATGAGGAAATCCCACCCAATCTCAGGTACAAAAGGAATACATAGTTACTGCCTTGCCAATATGAGAGAGATCCCACCCAATCTCAGGTACAAAGAGCGCTGTTTACCTTAAATTAGTAGCTTCGAATGATATCACGAAAGTTAGGATTGTCTGTTAAGTATAAAAATCCCTTACCCCCAGGCTGACGTCATCCGGTCACCTCTTAGTACGTCATACATGTACAAGTCTTTACAAAGTCGTCTGCTCTCCTCGTCCCCGTCTTCAGCAGAGGGCGCCTTGTGGAAATATATATACCCTTGAGCGATCTCATCTGCTCCCTCCCCTGACAAAATGACTGTCGTGTCTGTCTTTTGTTTTATATATTTACTAACAAGGAACATTCCTGTGGAAAAACAAATCAATATGTTTTTATGTAAGATTTGAAAATATTTGTACTAATAACTACGAAACGTTGTTGTTTTTGTTGTTTTTTTTTCAATCTTTAATACCTAAATTTTATATACAAATGTTATTTGCTAATTTCCATTTATAGATGTTAACCATTACAAATATGATTGTCCCTGTGTTTAAACAGAAAATAAATCGACTTTACGAAATTGATTCAATTTCCAGCAGTCCAGCTATTTCGCTATCTCAATCGTTAGCGAACCAAACACAAGACACCGCCTACTAATGCCTACAACTTACCAACAGATGCTCTGACTGAAGTGATGTCGTAACTCTCCAAGTGATAAATAACGTCTTCGATAGCGGCGATCCCCTCCTCGGGTGTAAATATGATTTCGTGGTGCTCCGTATCCAGATGTTTAGCCACCTGATGGTTATAGAGAAGAAACGATACAGACGATAGAATTTTACTCTAAAATCATCAATATTTGGGGGCGATTTATTTTCGTTGAATTAGTGGCTACGCTAAATCTACGAATTTACCTGTTAATGAAATGGTAAACAGATAAATAATTAAATGAGAATCACATTTCCATGAATAGTTCATGTGAGAAATAATCAACAGAATGTGTGCATATTAAGATAAGATAAGTAATTAGAAGTAACTCACTACACAGTACCTTCCTAGCCGCCAGCAGATCAGGGCTTCCTTCCATTCCAATGGAGAATGTTTGTACAGGGTATTCAAGACCCTGCTGTTTAGCTAACTTTACTAAAGTGCCTGCTACCAAACTGGAATCTAGACCACCTGTACATTGAAACATATATGTAAACGATAATACCTATTTCTATATATTGTTACTAAAAATGTATGTTTTTGTATGTTGACACGTGAGTACCTTTATCATTATCATCTTTTATCTAAATTAAAAAATAATATTATTGATTTTTATTGGTATTCGTCATTTGTTTCAGTTCTAGAGATAACAACTACCAAAACAGTATACAGATGCTATCAATAAAGAGAATTTTACGCAGGAAATAGGTAGTGGATGTACCAGCTTTCAAAAAGGTAGCAGCACCGATTACCTCAAAGGTAGCTCACTGTGTATATTTTAAAGACTTACCTGATAGTAAACATCCTATACGCCGATCTGCCATCATCCTCTTGTTTACAGCGCCTTCAAATAGTGTCCTGATGCTACCTTTGATGTCGTTATCTGTAACGAGATATCATCATTTAATGACTTACCATAGGAATACATGATGTAATGGTAAAGGGACTAAAACGATATTCCAACATGATGACTATAACACGGTGTCTAGCTGATAAACAATTGATTTTAGACATTAATGATGTTTATGGAACAGGTTATTATACGTATCATTTAACAAAAATTAATATATTTGATTTTCTATTGTTTTGGGTAGTCTGATGACGCAGTAATCGAGGTTCGATTCCCCTAATCCGACTTGAAAGAATACAGCTACATCTGTTGAATGTTTTCCCAAATGTAATTTGTAACATCTGTAACTAACTCTCCACCCATGGTATGTGATAAATCATAGCTATAGAGTAAACAAATATCTATAATACCTGATAAATCTTAGCTACAGAGTTAGCTGATATCTATAATACATAATAAACCATAGCTACATAGTTAGCTGATATCTATAATACATAATAAACATTAGCTACAGAGTTAGCTGATATCTATAATACCTGATAAACCTTAGCTACAGAGTTAGCTGATATCTATAATACCTGATAAACCTTAGCTACAGAGTTAGCTGATATCTATAATACATAATAAACCATAGCTACAGAGTTAGCTGATATCTATAACACCAGATAAACCTTAGCTACAGAGTTAGCTGATATCTATAATACCAGATAAACCATAGCTACAGAGTTAGCTGATATCTATAATACCAGATAAACCTTAGCCACAGAGTTAGCTGATATCTATAATACATGATAAACCTTAGCTACAGAGTTAGCTGATATCTATAATACCAGATAAACCTTAGCTACAGAGTTAGCTGATATCTATAATACCAGATAAACCTTAGCTACAGAGTCAGCTGATATCTATAACACCAGATAAACCATAGCTACAGAGTTAGCTGATATCTATAATACCAGATAAACATTAGCTACAGAGTTAGCTGATATCTATAATACCAGATAAACCTTAGCTACAGAGTTAGCTGATATCTATAATACCAGATAAACATTAGCTACAGAGTTAGCTGATATCTATAATACCTGATAAACCTTAGCTACAGAGTTAGCTGATATCTATAATACCTGATAAACCTTAGCTACAGAGTTAGCTGATATCTATAATACCTGATAAACATTAGCTACAGAGTTAGCTGATATCTATAATACCTGATAAACCTTAGCTACAGAGTCAGCTGATATCTTTAATACCTGATAAACCTTAGCTACAGAGTTAGCTGATATCTATAATATGATAAACCTTAGCTACAGATATCTATAATAATAAACCATCACTGATATCTATAATACCAGATAAACCATAGCTACAGAGTTAGCTGATATCTATAATACATAATAAACCATAGCTACAGAGTTAGCTGATATCTATAACACCAGATAAACCATAGCTACAGAGTTAGCTGATATCTATAATACCAGATAAACCTTAGCTACAGAGTTAGCTGATATCTATAATACCTTAGCTACAGAGTTAGCTGATAAACCTTAGCTACAGAGTTAGCTGATATCTATAATACATAGTTAGCTGATAAACCTTAGCTACAGAGTTAGCTGATATCTATAATACCTGATAAACCTTAGCTACAGAGTTAGCTGATATCTATAATACCTGATAAACATTAGCTACAGAGTTAGCTGATATCTATAATACCTGATAAACCTTAGCTACAGAGTTAGCTGATATCTATAATACATGATAAACCATAGCTACAGAGTTAGCTGATATCTATAATACCTGATAAACCTTAGCTACAGAGCTGATATCTCAGCTGATATATAATACCTGATAAACCTTAGCTACAGAGTTAGCTATAATACCTGATAAACCTTAGCTACAGAGTCAGCTGATATCTATAATACCTGATAAACCTTAGCTACAGAGTTAGCTGATATCTATAATACCAGATAAACCTTAGCTACAGAGTCAGCTGATATCTATAACAGATAAACCTTAGCTACAGATAAACCTTAGCTACAGAGTTAGCTGATATCTATAATACCTGATAAATCTCAGCTACAGAGTTAGCTGATATCTATAATTCCAGATAAACCTTAGCTACAGAGTTAGCTGATATCTATAATACCTGATAAACCTTAGCTACAGAGTCAGCTGATATCTATAATACCTGATAAACCTTAGCTACAGAGTTAGCTGATATCTATAATACCTGATAAACATTAGCTACAGAGTTAGCTGATATCTATAATACCTGATAAACCTTAGCTACAGAGTTAGCTGATATCTATAATACCTGATAAACCTTAGCTACAGAGTTAGCTGATATCTATAATACCAGATAAACCTTAGCTACAGAGTTAGCTGATATCTATAATACCAGATAAACCTTAGCTACAGAGTCAGCTGATATCTATAATACCTGATAAACCTTAGCTACAGAGTTAGCTGATATCTATAATACCAGATAAACCTTAGCTACAGAGTTAGCTGATATCTATAATACCAGATAAACCTTAGCTACAGAGTTAGCTGATATCTATAATACCTGATAAACCTTAGCTACAGAGTCAGCTGATATCTATAATACCAGATAAACCTTAGCTACAGAGTTAGCTGATATCTATAATACCTGATAAACCTTAGCTACAGAGTTAGCTGATATCTATAATACCTGATAAACCTTAGCTACAGAGTTAGCTGATATCTATAATACCTGATAAACCTAGCTGATATCTACAGATAAACCTTAGCTGATATCTATAACACCAGATAAACCTTAGCTACAGAGTCAGCTGATATCTATAATACCTGATAAACCTTAGCTACAGAGTCAGCTGATATCTATAATACCAGATAAACCTTAGCTACAGAGTCAGCTGATATCTATAATACCTGATAAACCTTAGCTACAGAGTTAAACCATAGCTACAGAGTTAGCTGATATCTATAGTACATAATAAACCATAGCTACAGAGTTAGCTGATATCTATAACACCAGATAAACCTTAGCTACAGAGTCAGCTGATATCTATAATACCTGATAAACCTTAGCTACAGAGTCAGCTGATATCTATAATACCTGATAAACCTTAGCTACAGAGTCAGCTGATATCTATAATACCTGATAAACCTTAGCTACAGAGTCAGCTGATATCTATAATACCAGATAAACCATAGCTACAGAGTCAGCTGATATCTATAATACCTGATAAACCTTAGCTACAGAGTCAGCTGATATCTTTAATACCTGATAAATCTTAGCTACAGAGTTAGCTGATATCTGATAAGCTTTGCCAATAGAATTTGTTGATATCTATGATATCTCATAAAACTTACCAATAGGGTTAGCCAGCGTCTTGTATGCAGGTGCATCCCCTATTTTATGGAACCTTGTCCTTTCTACAAATGTAGCTCTTCCTATGGAGTCCAAGTCGTATGTTTCTACGTGACCGGGAAGGAAAGCTTCGAGAGTCGCCTGTGATTTATCTCCGAACATTGACATCAGTCCTGAAATATAGTGTACCCACAGATTTTCACGGAAGCCATCGTTACAAATGTAATATTGATTACACTTTCTATTAGACATCGTTACAAATGTAATGTTGATTGCACTTTCTATCAGACATCGTTACAAATGTAATATTGATTACACTTTCTATTAGACATCGTTACAAATGTAATATTGATTGCACTTTCTATCAGACATCGTTACAAATGTAACATTGATTACACTTTCTATCAGACATCGTTACAAATGTAATATTGATTGCACTTTCTATCAGACATCGTTACAAATGTAATATTGATTGCACTTTCTATTAGACATCGTTACAAATGTAATATTGATTACACTTTCTATCAGACATCGTTACAAATGTAACATTGATTACACTTTCTATCAGACATCGTTACAAATGTAACATTGATTACACTTTCTATCAGACATCGTTACAAATGTAATATTGATTACACTTTCTATTAGACATCGTTACAAATGTAATATTGATTACACTTTCTATTAGACATCGTTACAAATGTAACATTGATTACACTTTCTATTAGACATCGTTACAAATGTAACATTGATTACACTTTCTATTAGACATCGTTACAAATGTAACATTGATTACACTTTCTATTAGACATCGTTACAAATGTAATATTGATTACACTTTCAATTAGACATCGTTACAAATGTAATATTGATTACACTTTCTATTAGACATCGTTACAAATGTAATATTGATTACACTTTCTATTAGACATCGTTACAAATGTAACATTGATTACACTTTCTATTAGACATCGTTACAAATGTAATATTGATTACACTTTCTATTAGACATCGTTACAAATGTAACATTGATTACACTTTCTATTAGACATCGTTACAAATGTAATGTTGATTGCACTTTCTATCAGACATCGTTACAAATGTAATATTGATTACACTTTCTATTAGACATCGTTACAAATGTAATATTGATTACACTTTCTATTAGACATCGTTACAAATGTAACATTGATTACACTTTCTATTAGACATCGTTACAAATGTAATGTTGATTGCACTTTCTATCAGACATCGTTACAAATGTAATATTGATTACACTTTCTATTAGACATCGTTACAAATGTAATGTTGATTGCACTTTCTATCAGACATCGTTACAAATGTAATGTTGATTACACTTTCTATTAGACATCGTTACAAATGTAATATTGATTGCACTTTCTATCAGACATCGTTACAAATGTAACATTGATTACACTTTCTATTAGACATCGTTACAAATGTAATATTGATTGCACTTTCTATCAGACATCGTTACAAATGTAACATTGATTACACTTTCTATTAGACATCGTTACAAATGTAATATTGATTGCACTTTCTATCAGACATCGTTACAAATGTAACATTGATTACACTTTCTATTAGACATCGTTACAAATGTAATATTGATTACACTTTCTATTAGACATCGTTACAAATGTAATATTGATTGCACTTTCTATCAGACATCGTTACAAATGTAATATTGATTGCACTTTCTATCAGACATCGTTACAAATGTAATATTGATTGCACTTTCTATCAGACATCGTTACAAATGTAATATTGATTGCACTTTCTATCAGACATCGTTACAAATGTAATATTGATTGCACTTTCTATCAGACATCGTTACAAATGTAATATTGATTGCACTTTCTATCAGACACATTTATATCTAATGAGAAAACTATCATTTTATCATCAAGCAAAACTCTATCATTGCATCTCAATATGGAAATGACTTTAAACTTTTAAAATTACTCTCATTTTTCAGACTATAAATGATTTTATTGACCAGGTCCCACATTATAATACTGCTTATAATATTCGTTCGCAAAATAACATTAGCAAAGTAAAGATATGTTCCTATACCTTTTGCTTCTGAACAAACGGCAAGGAACCCACTTTCGGTGGTCAGACGGAAAGACGGCCTCACTCCGAATGTGTCTCTGCCGAGGAAAACTTTCCTATTGGCGGTGTCCAGAAGACAGAAAGCAAACACTCCATCCAATTGACTAGCTGCAAATTCGATCCCGCCCCGGGCGTACAAGTGAATAATGGACTCACCGTCACACTGTGTTGCGTAGTGGAAGTCAAATTCTTCCTTTAACTGTAGGAATGAAATGCTTGACATGTCAAAGCTTGTAACCCTTAGCAACGAAGGATGTTCTAAAATAGAAATTGAAGTATAGAACTAGAACCGATGTGGTCTACAAAGCAATAACAATTGTTTTTTTTTTTTTTTTTTGACATATTGAGATAGAAATGCAACGTAATAGACCACCAAACCTTTATGAAAGCAACAAATGCAACGAAACGACATTAGAAATAAGAAAAAAAGTTTATCTAATAAATTTCAAACTTTGACTTTGAACCATCAATATATGAAAGCATACTTTAAAATTACCGTTTTATGGTTGTAGATTTCTCCGTTATAGATAAGCCAAATATGGGGATGCTTAAAAACCCTCATGGGCTGCATTCCTTGTAAATCATCTACAATTGCAAGTCGGTGAAATCCGAGACAACATGAAGGGAAATGGTTAATACTCTCTATTCGGAATGCATCTGGGCCTCTGTGGCCTATTTTGTGTGCTGCATTGCATTGATCTGCAATCTCGCCATCACTACCGAATACTGCCCAGATACCACACATTTTAATAGCTGGCTTCCCTGAAAGAAGAGGCATTAAGTGAAAGTCAGTGTTCATAATTTATCGAGCTGGAGCCCCAGTATTAGTTTAGAAAGAGAACAATTAAGAATTATTCGTTACCCGGACCTTTCACAAGTTGATTAAAACATGGCCAAAGCAGATGTCTTTTCAAACCAATGCCCACAACAACGAATCTATCGCTGGATGTCACCTCCTTGTGTGTACATGCAAGTTGTTGTTTTTACTTATGTGGAATAAACATAAAGAAACCGAAACATTTGTTTTTGCTAATTAAACTCTGGATTGTGTACACAGTGCTAATAAGACGTGTATTTCATCCACATACATATTCATATACATCTTACATCTGTCGGGTCAAATCCCAGAAGCATGATATATAACTAGAGTGTATTATATATTAATTGATAAAATTGCGTTACATATCTTAGATATATCTGATAATAGAGTTTCACAGGAAGTGGAGAGGGGGAGGAAGGGTTTAAAAAATACCAATATGAGAAGCTAGTAGAAAAATGCGGAGGGTATTTCCAACCCTAAATTATATAATGAGGTTCCAACTGTACAGGAATACTTGTTGAATGACGAGTTGTTAAGGGTAATCGAATATGCGATTCGTCAATACCAACAGCAACTTCATATATCCCCGACGAGTCTTTAAAGGATGAAACAGCTGTAGGGTGTAGTTTAATTCCTTGTTTGGCTCTACTGTATATCTAGCTCTAAATTTGTAATGAAAAGAGTTATTCGCTTGTGTCTTTTGTACATTCTTTCAAATATATCTATAACTGCTGGATGTCTTTGTGGAAATGAGAAGGACAAATAATGGTGTTGATAAAATCGTGACCGTGCGGATCAGTGACCGACAAGCACTAAAAACATTATAATAAGTTGACCTGACAGATGTAAGAGCGGCAATGATCCCATTCTCAAGGTCAAGATCACCTTGTCTAATCCACACATCGGTCATAGCTTATTAGCCTATATACTAAGTATCATAAACATAGCATAGTACACATGTACTTAGTTTCATTAGAGTACAAAGAGAAGACATATGATAGTGCCAGTATATGTATATGTGATAGCCAAACAGGATTATGTTCGGTGCCTAATAATAAAAAAAGTCAAGGTAATTTGGTCTATTTACAGTAACACTAGATAATGTCATGTGTTTTTCTTCTTTAATCACGTGGACAGATAAATCACCACCTGACGTATCAAAATTTCTGCAATGGACATTTAGAGTAAGTTGTGTACCATGCAAGCAAGAATGTCAAGTGAGCCTTTATATATGACATGGTGTCGAAAGTATATGAAATCACAAAACAGTTTTCCAAAAACAAACATAGCAGAGATTGTAATATACCACAAAGGCTACAGAAACAAACATAAAAGAGAGTGTAATATATCAAAAAGTCTACAGAAACATAGCAGAGAGTGTAATATATCAAAAAGTCTACAGAAACATAGCAGAGAGTGTAATATATCAAAAAGTCTACAGAAACATAGCAGAGAGTGTAATATATCAAAAAGTCTACAGAAACACAGCAAAGAGTGTAATATATCACAAAGTTTACAGAAACATAGCAGAGAGTGTAATATATCACAAAGTTTACAGAAACATAGTAGAGAGTGTAATATATCAAAAAGTCTACAGAAACATAGCAGAGAGTGTAATGTACCAGAAAGTCTACAGAAACATAGCAGAGAGTGTAATGTATCAAAAAGTCTACAGAAACATAGCAGAGAGTGTAATATACCACAAAGTCTACAGAAACATAGCAGAGAGTGTAATATACCACAAAGTCTACAGAAACATAGCAGAGAGTGTAATGTACCAGAAAGTCTACAGAAACATAGCAGAGAGTGTAATATATCAAAAAGTCTACAGAAACATAGCGGAGAGTGTAACATATCAAAAAGTCTACAGAAACAAACATAGTAGAGAGTGTAATATATCAAAAAGTCTACAGAAACATAGCAGAGAGTGTAATATATCAAAAAGTCTACAGAAACATAGCAGAGAGTGTAATATATCAAAAAGTCTACAGAAACAAACATAGTAGAGAGTGTAATATATCAAAAAGTCTACAGAAACATAGCAGAGAGTGTAATGTACCAGAAAGTCTACAGAAACATAGCAGAGAGTGTAATATATCAAAAAGTCTACAGAAACATAGCAGAGAGTGTAATATATCAAAAAGTCTACAGAAACATAGCAGAGAGTGTAATATATCAAAAAGTCTACAGAAACAAACATAGCAGAGAGTGTAATATATCAAAAAGTCTACAGAAACATAGCAGAGAGTGTAATATATCAAAAAGTCTACAGAAACATAGCAGAGAGTGTAATATATCAAAAAGTCTACAGAAACATAGCAGAGAGTGTAATATATCAAAAAGTCTACAGAAACATAGCAGAGAGTGTAATATATCAAAAAGTCTACAGAAACATAGCAGAGAGTGTAATGTACCAGAAAGTCTACAGAAACATAGCAGAGAGTGTAATATATCAAAAAGTCTACAGAAACATAGCGGAGAGTGTAATATACCACAAAGTCTACAGAAACATAGCAGAGAGTGTAATGTACCAGAAAGTCTACAGAAACATAGCGGAGAGTGTAATATATCAAAAAGTCTACAGAAACAAACACAGAAACATAGCAGAGAGTGTAATATATCAAAAACTATACAGAAACAAACATAGCAGAGAGTGTAATATATCAAAAAGTCTACAGAAACATAACAGAGAGTGTAATATATCAAAAAGTCTACAGAAAGAGTAATGTAATATAAAAAGTTACCAACAAATATAATAAAATAATAATAAGAAAAAAGACAATGCTGTTACACAAGCGTTATAAACAAGAAACAGTGTTGTTAACAGATGCCTTTTAAGTTCATCAGAATATCAATAAATGAAGATTGCAACAAGGTTAGATATAGGTTTGTTAATCATTGTTATAAAGATTAGAGACTTACCTGCAACTTTCGGAATACCAGATCACTGTAAACGTTTTGAAAACGAGTTGTTGCCTTAAACAGGTGATGTGTGCCGAAGTGATGATGAAATCAAACGCCGGCCTTATATACTTGCTCACAGCTGAGCGACTGGTGATGATGCAACTTTTGGTGGAAGGTAAAACAGCTGATGCAATAGAAAGGAAAACCTTTGTCAGCTCTTTGTAAACGAATATGTATTATGCAAATGATATTATTCGTCAAATTTGTCTGCGTGGCTTAGTTTTATATTAAAAACATTTTAGCTATTTTTAGCTATTTTTAGTTCTAGAAGATGAAACGTGATGCTGCCTAAAATAGTAAAACGTAACACTTGTTTAAATGTTTGGTTTGATTTCAAGCTGACAATGCTTTTCTTTTTTCGATTTGTGTATACAAATACACGGCCTGTTCTGCGAGCCATTTATAAGCGGGCTGAAGGAAATATATATCCACGCCTCGGACACGTGAAAATTAAGGTGAATGATCTTTAAATAAGCATAAATGTGTGTCAGTGAACTACGGAAACGTATTAGGCTCAAGTACGATAATATTTTACGTGATAACGAAAATATAATGTCTGGCGGCCGCTACATAATGATCTGGCGGTCGCCACTTAAAGATCTGGAGGCCGCTACATAGTTATCTTGCGGCCGCAACTTAATTATCTGACAATTGCCTTTCAATTATCTGGCGGCCACTACTTACTTTTTTTATTTCTTTTTTTTATTTAAATTAATAAATTTAAATTAAATGGCGATCGCCAGATCATTATGTAGCGGCCGCCAGATCATTATGTAGCGATCATTAAGTGGCGGCCGCCAGATCATTATGTAGCGGCCGCCAGATCATTAAGTGGCGGCCGCCAGATCATTATGTAGCGGCCGCCAGATCATTAAGTGGCGGCCGCCAGATCATTAAGTGGCGGCCGCCAGATCATTATGTAGCGGCCGCCAGATCATTATGTAGCGGCCGCCAGATCATTATGTAGCGATCATTAAGTGGCGGCCGCCAGATCATTATGTAGCGGCCGCCAGATCATTATGTAGCGATCATTATGTAGCGGCCGCCAGATCATTATGTAGCGGCCGCCAGATCATTATGTAGCGATCATTAAGTGGCGGCCGCCAGATCATTATGTAGCGGCCGCCAGATCATTATGTAGCGGCCGCCAGATCATTATGTAGCGACCGCCAGATCATTATGTAGCGACCGCCAGATTAAGTGGCGGCCGCCAGATCATTATGTAGCGGCCGCCAGATCATTATGTAGCGGCCGCCAGATCATTATGTAGCGATCATTAAGTGGCGGCCGCCAGATCATTAAGTGGCGGCCGCCAGATCATTAAGTGGCGGCCGCCAGATCATTAAGTGGCGGCCGCCAGATCATTATGTAGCGGCCGCCAGATCATTATGTAGCGGCCGCCAGATCATTATGTAGCGATCATTAAGTGGCGGCCGCCAGATCATTATGTAGCGGCCGCCAGATCATTATGTAGCGGCCGCCAGATCATTATGTAGCGGCCGCCAGATCATTATGTAGCGGCCGCCAGATCATTATGTAGCGGCCGCCAGATCATTATGTAGCGGCCGCCAGATCATTATGTAGCGGCCGCCAGATCATTAAGTGGCGGCCACCAGATCATTAAGTGGCGGCCGCCAGATCTTTAAGTGGCGGCCGCCAGATCATTAAGTGGCGGCCGCCAGATCATTATGTAGCGGCCGCCAGATCATTAAGTGGCGGCCGCCAGATCATTATGTAGCGGCCGCCAGATCATTATGTAGCGGCCGCCAGATCATTATGTAGCGGCCGCCAGATCATTAAGTGGCGGCCGCCAGATCATTATGTAGCGGCCGCCAGATCATTATGTAGCGGCCGCCAGATCATTATTTAGCGGCCGCCAGATCATTATATTTCCGTTATCACGTAAAATGTTACAGTACATGAGCCTAATACGTTTCCGTAGTGAACAATGAAGGTGAAAAGCGCTTTATTTTCCGCCTGACTGCATTTCATACAGACATTTTCAGTTCACATTTTCTATATATGATTTTAAAGATTAAGTTTTAAAAGGTAATAAATACCAAGGAGATCCTCATTAACTCCTGGAATGACTCTTGCTTATGCATAACACGTTGTATGGGGGATTTACTTACACGTAATGTGTGTGATATCAAAATGTTTAAATAACATGTTTCCCGTTTATGTATATAGTATACACTTCAGTAATGACGATGACCCTTTTTTTACATCACATCGCCTTACATACATATATTTATACACAGAATCGAATTTTAAGAATCATACGATCATTATTCTGAAAAATTACGTGTATATTAAATGTACGATTCCACGTATTCCAGTACGACACTATTATACAAAAATCCTTTATATATATAAATAGAGCAACGATATAGTCCTACCACCTCGCTATTCAGTCATGTAGTAGACATCAATATTCACCATGCCAGTTTAAATAACATGTTTCCCGTTTAGGTATATAGTATACACTTCAGTAATGACGATGGCCCCTTTTTTACATCACATCGCCTTACATACATATATTTATACACAGAATCGATTTTAAGAATCATACGATCATTATTCTGAAAAATTACGTGTATATTAAATGTACGATTCCACGTATTCCAGTACGACACTATTATACAAAAATCCTTTATATATATAAATAGAGCAACGATATAGTCCTACCACCTCGCTATTCAGTCATGTAGTAGACATCAATATTCACCATGCCAGTTTAAATAACATGTTTCCCGTATATATATCTCATCTCGTTACAGACATATATATATAGTATACACTTCAGTAATGACTTGATACGGATCCCAAAGCTACGGTCCATATTCATGTATTATAGTGACAAGGACTGTAACTCTCGCAAGGGAGAAACATAACTTTTGTTAGCTAAGTATTGACCAAATTATGATCTGACGAATTCGGATGTGAAGAAATGGCCTGGAACATTTCCCTGTCCGGTTAAATCATGATCTCGTCTGTAATGGGTACCTCAGTAACGATGACGAAACCGCTAAATCTACTTTACATTGAATATTAACATCAAAATGCTGACTTTCTTCCACATCAGCCGCCATCTTTTCGCCGATCACTAGTGTACACTGTACCTGGTGTCGACCCGTGTCCCAAAAACCCAGTACAATATTCTGATAAATACATCATAAGTAAAGAACAAATTAAAATAAATCTAACATTTTCTTTGGAAATATATTCAAATGTTCAGAAGATATCCTACTTTGATTAAATTAATAACAATTTCAGATTTGAGTGTTGTGTTTATTTTTTACGTACAATATGCGTCCCTGATATAAACAGTTAAGATAATGTAATGCATGCAACCGAAGTGTCACATTTTTAAAATATTGAACTAGATGTTAGTTTATGGGGAAAGGATAAAATGTTATTCAAGCCAAGTTGAATTTAAAAGGTTTTCCGATGCACCCTGGAAAATATCGCATTCTAGTACAGTTTATTTAAGAAATGAAACGAATATTTCATCAAGTCCACATTTATACATAGGGTTGGTTAATGTTTATTTTATTTCATATATTCGTTTGGGGTGAAATGGATATTTGGCCTCTCAAGATGGTGGGGGATTTGGGTCCGATTGGGGGAATTTTCCCCTTCTTTACAAATAACTGGTTTACCTCGTAACAATATTGTCTGTCCTTTGAGGCTTGGATAATTAAAACAATGTTAAATCCAAATACCTGATGTCCGCTGTTAGGCCTCGGTGAGGCGCAGAATAATGAATGTTTCCTATTTCCTATATATTTATGAACTCAGTATTTACTTATCATACTGCTCTGACATGTGTGATAGATTCATTTATTGTAAAATGAGGTTCATGCACAATTTGGTGGAAGAATTGGACTCAAAAGGGGTATATTTGTCACATTCTTCCAAAATCCTTTTCTTTTGTTCTACGTCTGTGAATACTGTTTGTGTAAGAACCATAGGTCCATCATATTCGAGAACTAGGGTTACTGTTAAGGTTGTTATTCTCTATTAAGAATACCGTAAAGGTTATATTTCTCAAGTCACCTCTCTAAGGAATCACGTAAAGGACTTCATTTTGTATCTGTAATACTGTGAAGGTTATAATTTTGTATATTTAATACTGTAAAGACTAACATTTTGTATATTTAATACTGTAAAGGTTATCATTTTGTATATTTAATACTGTAAAGACTAACATTTTGTATATTTAATACTGTAAAGACTAACATTTTGTATATTTAATACTGTAAAGACTAACATTTTGTATATTTAATACTGTAAAGGTTATCATTTTGTATATTTAATACTGTAAAGACTAACATTTTGTATATTTAATACTGTAAAGACTAACATTTTGTATATTTAATACTGTAAAGGTTATCATTTTGTATATTTAATACTGTAAAGACTATCATTTTGTATATTTAATACTGTAAAGACTAACATTTTGTATATTTAATACTGTAAAGGTTATCATTTTGTATATTTAATACTGTAAAGACTAACATTTTGTATATTTAATACTGTAAAGACTAACATTTTGTATATTTAATACTGTAAAGACTAACATTTTGTATATTTAATACTGTAAAGACTAACTTTTTGTATATTTAATACTGTAAAGGTTATCATTTTGTATATTTAATACTGTAAAGGTTATCATTTTGTATATTTAATACTGTAAAGGTTATCATTTAATTTAATACTGTACATTTTGTATATTTAATACTGTAAAGACTAACATTTTGTATATTTAATACTGTAAAGACTAACATTTTGTATATTTAATACTGTAAAGACTAACTTTTTGTATATTTAATACTGTAAAGGTTATCATTTTGTATATTTAATACTGTAAAGACTAACATTTTGTATATTTAATACTGTAAAGACTAACATTTTGTATATTTAATACTGTAAATATAACATTTTGTATATTTAATACTGTAAAATCAGACTAACATTTTGTATATTTAATACTGTAAAGACTAACATTTTGTATATTTAATACTGTAAAGG